TCCTTACAAGGTTCTATAAGGGCTACTATAAGGGTTTAAGGTTTAGGGGCCTCAATAATTAGAATAGGGTTTTGGGGTCCTGTTTAATATGCTTATAAAAAGGAACCCCCCAAACTAATATGGGTAATTATTGAGGACCCTAAACCCGAAACCCTAAACCCTGAACCCTAAACCCTAAACCCTAAACCCCGGTTTCCTGTATTAGGTGATTCTTTCGGCGAGCCTGGGAGGACCTATGCCTGCTCAATGCCTTGAGACGTCAGGGGCCATCACTACTACCTTTCATGCGTTTAGGGTTTAGAAAGTAGAGTTGTTTGTAAATGGTCTACAAGGGCCTTCCATAATGTAGGGACCTGAACAATTAGATGAAGGTTCTGGGGTATATTGCAGCACTATAACTCTTTTGAGGAACCCTGGGGAAAAATATCTCTAGTTAAACAAGCCTCCATGTTATGTGAGCAGTGCTGTAGATGACTCTGGTATTTCTGACTATTTAGGCTTATATGCTCTAAACGTTAACCCCTAAACCCTAAGGCCCAAAAGCTTGAAATCTGTCATGCGGCAATATTGCTGCAGCCGTTGCCGTCAAAGCTATTCCTCTGCAGAAGGGCCAGATAGAAGCTGGAGAGTAATTATAGTCGGTGGTCCTGATAACTACGGCCTCGGAAAGGAATCATCGTGGAGATGTTGCGGTAATACATACGGAGAAATTATCGCCGACTATTGCGAGGTCTATGGCACTCCGACGCTGCGCCTGCATCTTACCCCAGAAATCCTAAACCCTAAACCCTAAATGGGGGTTTCCGAAAAAAAGGGTACCTTATTTAGGGGTCCTTATAATAAGGATCCTCTATTCAGGTTTACTATATTAGGGTCCCCTGTTTTCGGAAACCCCTAAATGACTAGGGATCTTGGACTCAGGGTGTAGCGTTTCGGGGCTTCGAGGCCGGAGGCTTCCATGCGCCACGCTTTTGGGGTTTAGGGTTTAGGGTTTAGGGTTTAGGGTTTAGGGTTTAGGGTTTAGGGTTTAGGGTTTAGGCTTCCATGGTTCAAGCTCGCCACCACAGGAGCCCTAAACCGCACGCTCCTGAAACCTAAACCCCAAACCCCCGGAACCCTAAACCTGTGGGTTGAGCCCGAACCCTAAACGTCCAAAACCTAAACCCTAAACCTTGAGCCCTAAACCCTAAACTCCTAAAAACCTAAACCCTAAACCCTGGAAGCCTAAACCCTGAGGGTTTAGTTCGGGATGTATGTTTAAGTGGTGGTCCTCACCCCGAATGACACACCAGAAAGCCCCACCCCAAACCGGCCAAGGCTTTGGATTTGGGGTTTGGGGTTTAGGGTTTAGGGTTTAGGGAATAGGGTTTTAGGGCTTAGGGCGTAATGGTTTAAGGTTTAGGGTTCAGGGAGTTGTTGAAGTCTTCGTATATTTGCCTAGACCCTAACTCCAAAGCCGTCAACCCCGGAACACCCGAAGCCACCAAACCCTAAACCCACAAGCGTTAAAAACCTGTCAAACCCCGAAACCCTGAGCCAACGGCGGCTCGCCTCGCTCCGCCTGTGTAGTCAGCATAATGTTGTCAGTGGTCTTCGATGGAGGTATCCGGGACAGCGCAAATTCCAATGTCATGCGGTACTGCTCCTTCAGGGTTAGGAACCCCAAACGGTAAATCTCCAACCTTATGTAAACCGTCCTAAACCATCCGAACCTTTAACGCCTAACCCAAATTTAGAGGCCTATATCGTGGGAGTCTACCAGCTGGTGCAAATATGTGCAGATATTAGGACATCCTTGCTTTGGTATTGGGGGTTCAGTTCTACCTGGCCCCTCTTCACAAGCCAACCTAAAGCGCAAGTCCTGAAACATGGGCCCCTCTAAAGTGGTGTACATGATCGCTTTGCCCCTAAACCCTAAACCCCACGCCCTAAACCGCGGTGATACACCGGCATTAGAATCTTTTTTTGCTATTGGTAGAGACCTGCAGCAGTCTTATGGTCTGGGCGTCAAAGGCACCAGACCCTTGACATCCCTATGGGCTTAGGGTTTAGGGTTTAGGGTTTAGGGTAGAACCCTTATGCATCCCAATTGCTTCTTCACTGTTGACGATTTCGGTCCGGGAACGGCTGCTCAAGGAGGCCAGCATCCTCCGCCCATCCGCTCGGGGAGCTTCCGGCAGCAAACCAAGTGCAGGTCAGCACGTGCACGCCAATCGCGCACCTCATTTGGAGTTACCAGTTGAGGGCGTGGACTTCCACTTCAGGGTTTTGGGTTAGAGGGTATGGTTTAGGCAAGCGGCGTTCTGTGCTCCAGCACAACATGCAGATGTTCATTCTGCGTAGTTTGCTGAAGGTCAAAGCCACAGGGCGTGTATCAACCAAGCACTCGAGCCTGCCGTTACCATGAGACTTTAAACTGAAAAGCTGGGTAATCCCATCGAAGCTTCCTCGGGAAATCTGCAGCCCCTTAAGGCTTACGGTGCAGGGCCCGTCAGTGTTCAAGTTCTACGGTTTTCTTCGGTGGCTCCTCAACCATACGAGCATCAGCACGGAGGCTGTTCAAAAGTACGGCTCTTCGCACGGAGAGCTTACCATCGCGAGATCTCGTCTGCGTTTCATGGCCGCCCACTGCTTTGTGGGTAGTTCTCTAAAAATTAGGGTCCCTTTTAGGATCCTTTTACTACGTTGGGGACCTAAAAGGGGACCCCAATCTAGAGAACTGCCCTTGTGTAGTTTAGCCTGCAAAGGGCAGTGCTCCGAGGCCTTCGCGTCCATGCACGGAAACCCTAGGATGAGCTCTCTCATTCCCAACAACTCCAACATCGGAGCCCTTGCTGACTAAGTTTCTTATTTTGGGGGTTTGGGGCGGAGGGGTTGAGGGGTTGAGGGCTTGGGGCTTATGCATTTAAAGGCTTAGGGCTTAGGGGTTCAGGGCTTCCGGTCTGAACGAACCCCATCTATCCAAAAAGAAGACGGGCTGAGCTCTCAAGTCAGAGAGCCTCGATGCCATCGGGCCGGCATTTTCGAATCGCAAGCCCCTCTGGGGTTTAGGTTTTACCCTTAACCCGCAACCCTAAAGCCCTAAACTTTGGGCCCTAAGCCCTTCATTCGCTTTGGATTGTGGCGTTGGGGGGTTCATGTCAAAAAATCCCGGAAACCCTCAGACACCCTAAACCCTGAAGACCTCGAGCCGAAGCACTAACAACTTGAAACCTCACTCCCCTGTTCCCGGGTTTAGAGGGTGTAGGGTTTAGGGGTTAGGGTGTAGGGTTTAGGGTGTAGGGTTCAGGGTTTAGGGTGTAAAGTGCAGGATTTAGGGCTTCCGGGTTTAATTAACCCTAAACCCTAAACCGAGTTTAAGGTTCCCGCAGAACCCTGGTTTCCTCACGCCGTCTTGGCACAGCAGCAACGTGATGCAGATGTTTGCCGCGGCCCGCATCTCCAGCCTTCTGACTGGCTTTAGGGTTTAGGGCTTAGGGTTTAGGGGTTTAGGGGTTTAGGGGTTTAGGGTTTAGGGTTTAGGGTTTAGGGTTTAGGGTTTAGGGGTTTAGGGTTTAGGGTTTAGGTGGGTTTTACAGATTTATCGAGTCTCATGTGGGGGCGGGCTCTAAGGTGTATAAGGTCTGGAAAAAGACCCACATAGCCTGGGGTTTTCTAACATACAATTTCTTGCGGCCTACTATAGGAGCCTGAACAATTACCTTTGGCTTTTGTTGGGGGCTCCTGATTATAGTTTTAGTACATTTTCCACCAAAAACCCAGTCCCTATCCTAATTATTAAGGCCCCTATAGCCTAAACCCTAAACCCTACACCCTAAACCCTAAACCCTATTTGTGTCTAAACCCCGATGCTGTGTCGGTCGGCTCAGGGTTCAGAAGCACGGGGGTTGCCCTGGCGTGCAGAGCTTGCTTCAAGGCAAGGGTGTTTCAGGGCTGGGACTATACCTTAACCTACCCAAAACCCACTTTTTTTGTAGGGTTCCCTATAAATTCCATAATAGGGTTTATGCTCAGAACCTACAAAACTTTCGGTTATGGTAGCTTAAGGTAGGGTTTAGGGTTTAGGGCTTAGGTTGTTTTGGTTTTCAGCGCTCCACTCCCTTGTCGGTCTGCCGAAGCCTCCCTAGCAACCCGGTGGGGTCAGCGAATGGCCGGAATATACATCAGCCACGAAACCCTTTGCAAAAAGGACGGAAGGGAAGATTCTCAACAGGGCTTAGGGTTTAGGGTTTAGGGCGTCTTCTTGCGCAGTGGCCGATAGTCCATGCTAAGATGGTGCCACCTCACACCAGGGTTTATGGGTGTCGGCATATATCGCGTGAAGCTACTCGGTGAGACCGAAAGTTCTTTCACCCGCCCGCCGTGATGATACCACAGGCAACCACCCAAACCATGTCCTGTTAGGGTTTAGGGCTTATGCCCTCAATTCCCACCCCTTGTCATACTCAGGGGCAGTGCAGGGAGCCGGGTGGGAATTTAAGGTTTAGGGTTTCGGGTTTAGGCTCGGCGCATTCAGCTTACAGTTCGAGGTTTAGGGTTCAAGATGTATAGACATGCGAAGGCCAGAATGGAACACAGCACTTCACCAAGATTGAGCTTGCTTTTGACAAACTGATTTGATGCGCCTTGTAAAAAGGTGTCTCATATTGCAGCAAGATGTCTTGCAGAGAAGAAACAAGATTTCCAGATGCCCTTAAAGGAAGAACGGCAGGGCTACCGAAAACCGACACTGCACTGAGCACTCTGTGTGCAAATGATCACAGTACACATGCTTCACAAATGCTTGTCCACTTGATTCAGCAACCCTGCAGCCCCTAAACCCACAATCCTGAACCCTAAACTCTCAACCCCCCTAAACCCTAAACCCTGACAAGCCCCTGCCTCCGCAACTCGCCGCGATTCCACCTGTGGCACGACCACTGCAGTTTGGGTTTAGGTTTACGGCCAGTTTAGGGCGTGGAGTGCTACCACCACCATGACGGTTCGTAGTCTGCCTGCAGCTGAGGCTTGACATGCTTTGAAAGGCGTTTGAGAGGCGTCCCTAAACCCTAAACCCTAAACCCTAAACCCTAAACCCAAAGTCCGCCTTCCTAACTGAATCTTTCAGTCCTCAGAAAGATGGAGCTTCTGCAATGATGTTGAAGGAGGGTGTTCCGTTTTGTGTAACCAAGGCATGACAAGAGTGTGCACATAAGTTAAGCCTGTTATATAGGGTTTAGGGGTACGTTAGAGTACCGCCATGTTCGAGACCATGAGGAGAATGAGATTAACTTATGGTTTAGGCCACCTCTATCTATCTATCTATCGATCTATCTATCCATCTGTATATCTATCAATCTGTCTTTCTATAGACAGATAGACAGACAGGTAGATGGATAGATGGATATATGATAGGTAGATAGGCAGATAGTTAGATAGCTAGGTAGCTAGCTAGCTAGCTAGCTAGCTAGATAGATAGATAGATAGATAGATAGGCAGAAAGACAGATCGAAACATAGATAGACAGATAGATAGACAGATGGATAGATAGATAGATAGATAGATAAACAGATAGACAGATAGACAGATACGTAGATAGACAGATAGCTAGATAGATAGATAGATAGACAGACAGACAGACAGAGAGCGACAGATAGATAGATAGATAGATAGATGGCTAGGCAGATAGATAGACAGACAGACAGATAGATAGATAGATAGACAGACAGGTAGATAGACAGATAAGTAGGTAGACAGATTGATAGATAGATAGATAGATAGATAGATGAATAGATAAGTAGATAGACAGACAGATAGATAGAAAAATAGATGGACAGATAGATAGACAGATACATAGACAAGTAGATAGGAATACATACTCGGACATCGGTCGGTCATTCAGGCATCTTGCAGTCACTGATGGAGCCCAGCACCACGCTGCACCAACCCGCTAATTAAGCCTGATACTCTTACTCCTTAGCCCCTGAATTTCAATTCCCAAATCCTGAACCTCTGAACCTTGCACCTCCAATGAAGAACAATTCTAGACAAAAAACTATTAAACCCCTAAACGCAAGCCTTTTCAGTTATATCAGTCTCCCCAAACCTAAGGCCATGCATTCTGCGGCTCTCCTAAACCCAAACCCCAAAACCACCTAAACCCTGAAACCCTCCTCTCCTTCGCGCACTAGCAAAACAGAGCCCACATTGCACTGGAGGCTTTGCGGGATTCTTGGGCTCAGGGTTTTAGGCTTTAGGGTTTGAGAGGTTAGGGGCCAGGGCCTGGTGGTTTTAGGGTTGTAGAGTTCAGGATTTAGGGATTAAGGATCTCAGGGTTTAGGGTTTTAGGGTTTAGGGTGCAAGGACTCCCCTGACATCTGAAGCCAAACTTCATGCCCATTCCGTCAACAATAGATCCCCCAAGCCCCCCAAACCCGTAACCCTAAACCCCAAACCCTGAACTCGAAACCCCAAACCCTAATCATACCCTGAATCCTGAACCCAAACCTCAAAAACTCCAAACCTCCAAACCCCAATCCCCACCAAAACCGGAGGCCTAACGAGGAAGCGCGGGAACATGCGCAAGCCATGAAGTCGGCGGATATGACGCATTCGGATAAGCTCTGGGCCTGTGCAAAACCCTCAACCCTGTAAACCCTAAACCCTAAAGCCCTAAACCCTAAAGGGTGGTCTTTTGGGATCCTTTGGGGTCTAGTGTTTCGGGGTTCAGGGCTTTGGGGGAATTGGGATTTTGTGGCTTTGGGGTCTTGGGTTCTGGGAGTTTGGGGCTTTAGGGTTTTGGGTGGGGGATCCGGGGTGTTGGGTTTAGGGTTTCAGGCTTAGGTTTTAGGGTTCAGGTTTTTTTTTGAGGTGTGCTGGATCGAGGGTTGAGGTTTAGGGTTTCAGGGTTTAGGGTCTAGGGTTGAGGGCTTGAGGTTTCCCCATTCATGCGTATATATATATATATATATATATACAGATACGTGTATGTGTGTATCTATGTATGTATACGCATGCGTGCACGCATGCATGCATGCATACCTGCATGCATGCCTGCATGCATGCATGCATGCATGCATGCATGCATGCATGCATGCAGGCATGCAGTAGGTATATATGTATGTATGTATGTATGTATGTATGTATGTATGTCTGTATGTATGCATGTATGTATGTATGTATGTATTTATGTATGTATGTAATGCAATGTATTGCAATGTATTGCAATGTAATGTAATGTAATGTAATGTAATGTAATGTAATGTAATGTAATGTAATGTAATGTAATGTAGTGTAATGTAATGTAATGTAATGTAATGTATGCTCGTTTGTGTATGCATGAGTTTGTGCATA